AAACTACATAAAGACCACTGAACTAAAAGACAGATGAGCAAGTAGACCGGATTACAGAAGTACACACAGAGCATTGAACTGAATGACATACAGATGAGAAGACAAAACTACATATAGACCACTGAACTAAAAGACGGATGAACAAGTAGACCGGTTTACAGAACTACACACAGAGTACTGGACTGAAAGGCAGACAGATGAGTACAAATTTACAGAACCACACACAGAGCACTGGAGTGAGTAGACAATAGATTCAAAGACAGACAGGTAACAGAGAGGACCCTCACTGGACTCCTGGTCGGGTGGCTCGATGTTGTAGCCGTAGCCGATGAGAGTGCGGACAGCCTCGCACACACTGTCACGATTGGTCTTCTTGGTGCGCTCATCCAGAAGGTTATAGGGCACCAGCCGTGGGTTCCTCTTGTTCATGATGTCCTGGAGGGAGAGGACATGCGTCACAGGGACGGGCAGGGAGGTGGAAGGAGAGGGGAAGTACAGAAGTAAAGAGCTAGGAGGAGTACAGGAAGAGGAGGAGTGGGAGAAGGAGGCTAAGTGTGTGGCTAAGGAAGCTCTCTCTCCTGTTCTCACCTGGACTATGCTGTAGGTCCAGCCCTGCCTGACACGGTCCCTGGCCCACACGTTGTGTCCATTTTCTGCCAATCGGTCCACTAGCGTGTTCTGGGCAGGGGTCAGCTTCACATGGGACAGGTCCAGAGGGGCTGGCTTGTACCCACTGCTCATCATATACCTGCACACGGAGGGAGAGATGCATTAGTCTGGCGTGGAATTTACAGTGCCTTGTAACATGTCTTGGGCTGTATTAGTCCAGACAGCCCTAATAACTGTGTTAGTATCAGCAATACTTTAACTACAGCAATAAGAGCAGCAGTATGAACAATGGTAACAGTATTACTTTGAACAGTGGTAACAGTGACAGTAGCAACAGTAATCATAGTCACTGTATTTATATCAGCTGTACTATGAGCAATAACAGTTAAACTGTGGCTGCAACTCCAAAAGATATGTGTCTTGTATCTATGTTAAGCATCTGTATAGTTCAATCATTCAAGTATCTACTGTATGTTAAGCATCTGTATAGTTCAATCATTCAAGCTTTCACTTCACTTACGTCTTGGGAAGCTTGATCTTCTTCAGGTTCTCCTCTGCCTTCTCATCTGCCATGCCAACGTGGCAGCCGAGAGCCAGCAGGGTCCTGCACGGGGAGAGGGAGCGAGAAGGAAGGGCAGAGAGAGCAGAGCGTTCTTTACCGTACAAAATCACCGCTGTCATTTCACTCATCCAGTAACTCGAGAAGAGAACACCAAAGAGCAGAACATCACGCTCCTCAGGAAATCCATGTGTTATTGTTATTGTATTTAATCATACAGATGGACATACACACACAATATCCTGATCCAGCCTGAGAAGCTTATGAATGTATTTTTAAAAGGGGAAAGGGACAAAGCAGCTGGCCAATCCAGGGCAAAGTCAAGGTGAAAGAGGTGTTCATATTATCCTAATTAAGGTATGTTTAAACACATGCCAATGCTTGGCCATCCCATCCCCACGCCCTTGCTAAGCCCCAGTCTCCTCGTGCCAGGAGAGCTCGCTGGAGCTGAGCCTCAGACTCACTTCAGGGTCTCTCCAGACATCTGGAGGTTGTAGTTCCTCTCTGGCTCCGGCAGTCGCTGGAACTCCACGAGACAGGGGTGCAGCTTCTTGTTGTCATCTCGGAACTGAGGGAGAGAGAAGGTAAGAAGTGGGAGGGG